TTGATGAACCAGTGCCTGAATCTAGTGCCATTGAAATTGCCCCAACACACCACAAGCCAAAAACTAACCCACCCACATTGGTTTGACGTTATTTTCTAAAAAAAACTAGATATAGAGAAAACAATGATACAACCTCTTTTGCATAATTTACTTGCCTTTTTGGTTTTTGGTTTCACTTATGGGATAATTTTGTTGTTGTTATATCATTTTGGTGCTTGGTTCATCAAGAAGGCTAAAAGCATTTGCCTTTGGAGTTCGAGACTTTGAGTCCTTAAATATTTCACCTTTCTTATCATTGGAGGTCGGGGATTTGTGTTAATCTTGGTGCACTTTATGCAATTTGAAGGAAGTTTTACAGTTGCATTGGCTCGTTGTCTTGTCAATGGCAATTTATTCTTCAATCTTTTAATTTTAGCCTCTTGTTATATTTGGAGATTTGTTTTCTATTTACTTCTTCAGGATTTTGTATCTTTAAGCATTTAGTTGTCTTTTCATCTATCAAAAAGTCTGTTTCTTTCTTGTTCAGAAAAAAATAACATTTAAATAAGAAACCACCTTTCATTAAGAATTCAAGAAGGATGATACCAAAAAGGAGGAGGGGGAGGAACATCCCGATAACAAGAAGGAACTCCAACAATTACAAAATAGAACCTCGACTTTTGGCAACCAAAAAACAAAGGATAATTACAAAATAAATTAGAATTCGGAGCCCATAATTCAAACATCCTCCTACAGAAGAATGGAAAGCCCGTAAAGAAGCAATCAAGTACGTAAATTTCAAATGTCCTCCTATAAACTACCTTCCCCGAGAAAACCTTTTATATTCTTTTCCAACCAAATAAACCACAAAACTGCCAATGAACCAATCGTTAGAGAACCCAAGCCCATCCCTTGAACCACGGTTCCCTAAGAATACCATTAACTAAAATTGAAAATATTACCGGATCTGTCCTTCTTAGAGGCATTTATAGCAACAGTTCTTACTCATATTATTTTGCACCCCGATTTGCTTTCCCAGAACTAGTCTTCCTCTAAAAATCTATAACCATTTTCCAAAAAACTCACCATCCGATCATTAGCTCCAGCAGGAATCACTACACACCTTTTCGCTCCACCATTGGATAAAGTATTAATCTCAAGTAACCAACCATGTTGATTTGTACTTTTCTCATCCGAAGAGTCCAACTATCAAATTCAGTCTTCTTAAACTTATGATTCAAATAGTATTGAAGAGGCCCAATCAAAGACTGTTCCATCTAGAGAACTTGCTCCAATTTGCAGTCAAATATAAAAACAAGAAAAAAAAAATTCCCTCAAACTGAATCACCCACTCCAATATTCATTAAATAATTTAAGGTTTGTTTTCCATGCTGCAATTACGAAACACCATTGCCGCATGCAGTCTTAACATTCACAATCTCCATTGAGCAAGGGGACAATACAATAGAAAGAGTAGTTCTAATTTTAAGAGCAATCGCCTATCTCAATAATTTTAGTCTCCTAGAAAATAAAAGTTTCTTGATACATACAAAAGTACATATCTTTACTTTTTTGAAATGTTCTCTCGACAAATCATAATGGGGAAAGTGAGTAAACGTTGTTTCCCTCAAAACTTAACTATCTTATATCAAGAAAATGTCAAACCACAATATTCTTTCCCTTTGCACTGAAATTGACTAGCTGCCAAATAGCGGCCTTTTATAGGTTACTGCAAAATGCGAATCATACCCAATATCAAAAATTATAGAACTAGATTAGGAAATTAAGATAATATGTCCCTCGATTTTGAAACAGAATATTTAACATATAATTTTAATTGCAAATCATACCTGAATTGCAGCATCATAACAGCCAATGGCCTTTTCCAGCCCCCCATTACTGAGATATTTTGAATTATAAGTGTACGATAAGTACTGTTTCAAGTCATGACACTACGACTCAAAAAGGAGAAACGAGAAAAAAAAAAAAAAAAACATATATATTAACACTGTTATCTACCTGAAAGAATCCAATTTCAATTCAGCAAAACGAGAAGTAGCCTTTGCTTCCTGGAGTATAATTTGAAAATCACAAAGTCATTACCCAATTTCACCACGGGACAACCAAAGAATTAAAGCTACAATGTTCATAACAAAACAGGGCATTCGGAAACAACTAAATTACATGGCAGAAGTGAAAATTGATATTATTCCAATAGCACAAGCTCCAAATTAAGCCTCTCTAACTTGGAAAATAACTTAATGCTATAGCTTGGACTCGATTCTTCTCAAAACACAAACACATTGCTGCCCAATTGGGAAGAAAATAAATAAATGTGAATAACATAACAAGGTAAAGAAATAGAAACCTGGTGGAAACGTCCAGTGAGAAATGGCCTCTCGAGATTCCAACGGGGAGTTGAGGGACAAGAATTGGATGTGGAAGTTAAGGTTTCCATAGTTTTTCACCAGCAACTGTAACCCAGTAGTGTGCAGAATCTGAAACTTTACATGGATAGAAATGTGAGAGACTTCGCCACCGCCCCCCCTGAATTCTGAGAATGAAGCGTGCAGCCTGAGGGCGTCACCTGAAAATGGTTTAAAATGAGATCGGTAGAGAGAAATGGGAGACGAGAAATTGCGAGCTTCAGTCTGGTGCGTCGTTCTGGTATGGCTACTGGCGAGAACCTTGAGCGTTCAAGTATGGCTGTCCGTCGCAAGCTTCAATTTGGAGGTTCGGGCAAGTTTCTTCCCAAGCAAAAGGAGGAAGGGAAATGGTCCATTTTCACCCGAGAAAACAAAAAAAGTTTTTGGGTTTACGACCCAAATCTTAAAATTAAGGCTCGATTGTTGTATAACTATTTGGTTAAAATACTTTCTTGAAAATGTTATTATTTTAATCTATATATTTTAAAATTGTTCATTTTATTCTCTACTTTTAAAGGTGGTTCATAATAGTCATGTTCTTAATCTAACGTTAAAAAGCTAACGAATTTGGGACTATTTGATAACCATTTATTTTTAGTTTTTAGTTTTTAGTTTTTAACTTTTTAAAAATAGTATTGTTTGGTAACCAATTCAATTTTTTGTTTTGTTTTAAAATACCATTTTGAAATTCTAGGTAAATTTCAAAGACAAAAAGGTTAAAAAATACGTCTGTTCTATATAGTTTCCCTAAAATAACAATTTTAGTTCGTGAACTTTAGTTTGTAATGATTTAGTTCTTTTACTTTCACTAAAGTTACAATTTAGTCTCTAAACTTTAACTTATAACGATTTAGTCTCTGTAGTTTAAAATTTGTAATAATTTAGTTTTTATCATAAAAAATTTTATTAAAATTAAGTGTCAAATATTGGACAAAGTTTTAAAATAATTCAATTTTAAAAATAAATTACTAAAATAAAATAACTAAATAAATGTAATTTAAATAAATAAATACAAAAGTAAGTTAGGTTTTTAAAACTATTGACATAAATAGGTTAAGCAAAGGAGGGGTCAAAACTCGCGTACAATGGACGCTACTTCCGTGCAACGTGTATTGTCAATGTGGCGGTCGAGGTGGCTGCTGATGCGGAAGTCGCGTACATGTACGCGACTTCCACCTATTTTCTAGTTTTTTCGTAGGAAGCCACCTGTTTTTCATATTTTTCTATTGTTATTTTTATATTTTTTTATTAATATTGTGAAATTTTTAATTAAGATGCGATTAAATTTTTTATTTTTTGTTATTATATTTCAAATTTTGATTAAAATGTGATTAAAGTCTGAAGTTTTAAAATTAGACTAAAATCAACTAATGAATTATAAGCTTGTGTTTTCATGAGTTTATATCATAAAGTAAACGTTTGTCAAATATCAAATTTTATAATTGTTAAATATTCGATACAAAAAGTTATTTTAAACTTTTAAACATATTAAAAAATATAGATAATCATGTACCACATTGTCATGGTCTTCTTACGCGACGTCCACGACGAGGTTCTTGCAGAACAGGTGATGGGTCAGGTTGACGAGCTGAACTAGATGCAGTGTCTAAATGAACTCCTAGCATAGGAATCAAAAATGTGATTGTATAGGAATATTCATAATCTGTTCATCTTCTATAGCATCTTCATTTTGTTTCTGAACTTGTTCAGCTTCTTGTGCTTCATCTTGAACTTCTTCATTTGACTGTGCTTGATTGCGCCTACGACGAGGACTCCTCATTTCGAAGTTTGAAACAACTCTTAGATAAACTGAATTTGATTCAGTTACGCGGATGCAAGTATCACACATTGATTTTAATACAGGTAAATTTTCTTATACCGCAAAGTCTTGTATGTTGCTAACAAAAAAATCCTGTAATGGATATAATAATTATTATTATTTATTCTTCCATACCTCATTTATCACTTCAGGGATTGGTGGATCATCATTGTCTATTGGGAGCTCAAGTTCGTCATCTTCAAGCTCGCTCCTTTCATTGAATGCCTCACATTGCTCTTCCATATTGGTAGGCAATGCTTCTGGTGGACTATTCCTCAACTCATCAACCATCAGCTCCACTTGGATTTGCAGCCTACGTATTGATTCATCAGTTCTCGCCATAAAGTCTATCATAGTCTGTTCAAGGCTAAAAACTTCCAATAATTGCGTTTGTTCTGGCATCCATGGTTGATTGTACTCTTGTTGAGGCTGTGACGGGAATTCTGGTGGGAATGCATGCTCATACGGATGGAATATACTTTCAGGTTGAAGCTCTCCCCACGGGAAATTCGAATGATCCCTCCAATCTTGGTTGTATGGATTTGAATAAKGGTTGAATTCTTGTYGGTTCYCTTGTTGACCTGGATAATAAAAAGATGAAGGATTAGATGGACAATATTCCAATGAATGACGAATATCACCACAATATAAACAACATAATTGATTCACAGGAGCTATGGGCATGTTACTTCCCATTGGAAGATTATACATAAATTGAGACTCCATTTCAAACACTCCTGTTGGTTGTTGGTTCATTACAAGTAAATATCTTCTTTTTTTCATTTCTCTCTTCCTTTTTTTTTAGTCTTTCTTTTGTTTTCTTAACCTTTATTCTCGCTTTAACCTCCTTAGG